GAACCTGGGACGCAGAGGATGCAGTGAGTAGAAATCACACCACTGCACTTTAGCCTGGGCAACAGAGTGAGACTCTGTTTCAAAAAAAGAAAAAAGAAAAAAAAAAGGAAAGAAACCACAAGATCAAAATACAAAAGGTAACCCAAGAAAATATTTGCATTGTATCATTTTATAACAGTCACCATATGAAAGAGATTCCATTTATGATTTTAAATCCCAACAAAAATATACATTTTATTAAGTCAACTAAATTTCATTTCCAAAGCACTATTTATCTGTGAATTTAAAAAACAAATCAGACATACATAACCTCAAAATGAAACTCATTGCTAAAAACAAATGAAAATTCATTGTCAAGGGTGATGTAATAGTGCTAAAGTCCCTGATCAAAAGATGGTGAAAACACCATCTACAGTCACTGAACATGAGGCTATTTCATAGCTACCCAATATCAAAAGAAAAAGATTAAATGCCAGTGTCTCTGACAAAAAAGCAAGCAACACGAGACTATAAGAAGAAATTAAACTGAAACAAAACTACTACATCAACAACTTATATTTAAGGCAGAGTGTGGTAGCTACACCTATAATCCCAGCACTTTAAGGAGTCCAAGATGGAAGGATTACTTAAGGCCAGGAGTTCAAGACAAGCCTGGGCAGCACAGAGAGACTTTGTCTCTACAAAAGATAAAATAAGATTAGCCAGGTGTGGTGGCTAGATCTACAGGCTATACCCCTGTAGATAGAGCTGTCTGTTTTTTCAAAATTTATATTTAATATATGTATATATTTGGAAGTAACTTCATACATACCTTTTCTACTTATTTTTCGGGTAGCACTTGTAGAAGACTTCTTGGTATCCATGACAGAATCACACACAGCTGTACTTGTAGGGGCTACTTCTAATTTATTTTCAATGTGTCTCAGCTAAAGTTTAAATACCATCACAAGACATAAGTTAATTCCATAAATAATCCACCATCAATTTACATGGTTATTTAAAAGTATATTGCCCGATACCTTTTTCCAAAGTAGAAAAAAAACTCAGGAATGCTTTCTTAAAATATTTGTTTTTCATCATTTTTTACTTTAGCTGTAATAATATCTGGCATAATGCTCCCCAAATTTAGACAAGAAAAATCAGTAAGATTCTGAAGAATATCAAAGAGTTTCCACTTGATATGCTGACCTATTTTTTAAATTGTTTAGTAAAAAAAAAGTAGTAAATTATCTGACTTTTTTTTTTTTTTGAGACGGTCTTGGTCCATCATGCAGGTTGGAGTGCAGTGACACGATCTCGGGTCACTGCAACCTCCACCTCACGGGTTCAAGAGATTCTCCTTCAGCCTCCCTAGTGGCTGGGATTACAGGCGTGCGCCACCACACCGGGCTAATTTTTGTATTTTTCATAGAGATGGGGTTTCCCCATGTTGGCCAGGCTGTTCTCAAACTCCTGACCTCAGGTAATCCACACGCCTTGGCCTCCCAAAGTGCTGGGATTACAGGCATGAGCCACCATGTTCAGCCAATTATCTGACTTTATATGTGACATACCATTATGCAATATATCCTGTGCATTTTACACGCAAAAATGAGTAAAGAATTATTTACCTGGACCAAAATTTAGGACTACAAGTACTCAAACAGCCACTGTGTTTTACAGTTTTATGTCTATAAAATAAGTTTCACAATAAAGAGAAAATATAACTCTGCAATATAAGTCAACTTTTGGTTATAACCACCAATGTTCTCAATGACTGAAAAGCATTTTTTCCTAAATAGTAAAATATTACATGCTTATAAGAAAAAACTAGGAAAACAGAAACAATATAAAAAATAAAATTAAAATCATCAAAATTCCATCACATATAGACACTTTATATAAAATTTTGATATATCTTCCTTCAGTTTTTTTTTTTTTTTTTTTTTGAGACAGGGTCTCACTCTGTCACCCAGACTGGAGTGCAGTCACATGATCTCAGCTCACTGCAACCTCTGCATCCTGGGCTTAAGCGATCCTCCCACCTCAGCCTCCCAAGTAGCTGAGACTACAGATGTACACCACTAATTAGCCCAGCTAATTTTGTATTTTTTGTAGAGACGGGGTTTAAAATTCAGAATCTGAATTTTAATAAGCTCCCAAATGTCCAGGTTGATCTCGAACTCCCGAGCTCAAGTGATCTACCTGCCTCAGCCTCCCAAAGTGCTGCGATTACAGGCATGAGCGACTGCACCCAACCTTCCTTCAGATTTTTGCATCCCAATGCATTTTAAAAATTGGAATAATTTTTGATATACTAATAGTTCTACATTAGATTGTCTCCCCTACTTATATTCCTTTATCATCCTTAAATGTTCTTCAAAAACACCCAATAGTTTTGAAAAACAACTATTAACAGTTTAACTCTAAATTAGTTTAGCACTAAGTTAAACTGGTGGATAAAAACTATTTCTATACTATACAAAATATAATGCTCAGGTAGAAGAGAGAGAATATATATTGCTACATTCATAGGGCCAAAATACGACTCTGCATTGGGACCAAATCTAGGTTATATCACCTTTTCCAGATTTATTTTCAAACTAGTTCTAAAGATTAGAGGACAGAAAATATCACTGAAATACTTAGTAAAGAAGTAGGTGATTCAAAATCAGGTGGTATAGAAAGCAAAAAAGGGTATATTAGGAAAGTAATTTGCCCAGAGAGCAAATTAAAAAGAAAAGAGTTTCCCTTTTAATGAACTATTTGCATCACCTGCCAAACTTGGATTCCTAAACTCTAGACAAGATTGGCCAGAACACAAATGCGAACAGGTTGCCCACAGTCATTCTTCTTCAGTAGTAAGAGAAAAAAAAAACCTGTTATTGCCACAAAAAAGAAGTAACTCTTTCAACACTGTTATTCAACATAGTACAGGAAGTCCTAGCTAGAGCAATCAGACAACAGAAAGAAATAAAGGGCATCCAAATTGGAAAGGAAGAATAACTCACAGTCCATTCAAGAAGTTGGTTTCCTTCATTTCCTCCCTAACAATGAGCCTTCTACATAGACAAAGCCACTACCTTCATCCTCTGTTTTAAATTTTTCTTTCTTTCTTTTTTTTTTTTTTTTTTTGAGACAGGATCTCATTCTGTTGCCCAGGCTGGAATGCAGTGGTATGATCACAGCTCACCGCAGCCTTGAGCTCCCGGGCTCAGGTAATCATTCCACCTCAGCCTCCCGAGTGACTGGGACCACAGGCGCATGCCACCACACCCAGCTAATTTTTGTACTGTTGCAGAAATGGGGTTTTGCCATGTTTTACAGGCTGGTCTTGAACTCCTGGGCTCAAAATGATCCTCCCACCTTGGCCTCCCAAAGTGCTGGGATTACAGGGTGCGCCACTGCATCCAGCTTAAATTCTCTTTTCCACCTACCAAGTGAACAAATTTATTAAAGGTGAATAAACAGTACAAATTATTATTATTACTGAGACAGGGTCTTGCTCTGCCATTCAGGCTAAAGCGCAGTGGCACAAGCAAGGGTCTCTGCAACCACAAAGCCTCAACCTCCCTGGGCTCAAGCAATCCTCCTGCCTCAGCCTCCTGAGCAGCAGGGATTACAGGTGCACACCACCAAGCCTGGCTAATTTTTGTCTTTTTTTGGTAGAGACAGGGCTTTGCCATGTTGCCCAGGCTAATCTCAAACTCCTGGGCTCAAGCTATCTACCCACCTCGACCTCCCAAAGTGCTAGGATTACAGGTGTAAGCCACCACAACCAGTTAATTTTAATACTTTATACGCCATGGTGCTTGTGCTCCTAATCCCTAAAGTAGTATCCTGTTTATTACTTTACCATTTAATAGTTGTCATTTATGTTCATTTTATAATATACAGTGTGTGTGTGCGTGTGTGTATATATATATATAGAGAGAGAGAGAGAGAGAGAGAGACTAAGAGAGAGAGAGAGAGAGAGAGGGGATCTCTTGAGCCCAGGAGTTCAAGACCAGCCTGAGCAACACAGTGAGAACCCGTCTGTATAACAAAAAATAAAAATAAAAGTAAATTTTAAAGAACAGTATGGAAAAAACTTTAATCTATTCAATCATAACAGGAAATTGATTTTCATCTAGAAATAAATAAATGGACGCTAAAACTACTTACAGCAGCCTTGGTTTGAGAAAGTGCATCCCACGATGTGGTAATATCTCCTGGGAAAAAAAATGATATTTACTATATCGATCAACCAGAATCTCTGAATTAGACCTCAGAATCTGAATATTAATAAGCTCCCAAATGCACTCAAAAGTCTGAAAACTACCTTATTAGGCAGAACAATTCCTCAGCAATTGCTTTATTATATTGAGTCAAAATGGGTTTTTATCTATAAGATTATTAAGCCAACATTCCCAACATATGGTTTAAAGGTAAATAGACACTGCTACCACTGGACTGGCATTTCCACTCACATCTATATCAGACAGCTCCAAAAATAAGCAGCACCCTCAGTTTACCCCAATGAGCTGAACAAAAATTTTATATTGTACTATATTTTATAATACAATGTGAGAAAGATTAGAAAGCTACTCCAGATTTTGATCTACCAGTAAAAACATAGGTAAAATCCATTCAGTCTTTCAGATAACAACCCTTCAAATAGTTTAAGGTCATGTATTTTCCATAAGTCATCCTTCTTCAGGATAAGTATTTCCACTTCCTCCAAATACTCTTCATATGACTCGATTTCCAGATCTTTCACAAACCCAATAATTTTCCTCCAGATGTACTCTAGTTTGTCAATCTCCCTCAAAAAAATCATGCCTTAAAATTACCTCTAATGCATTATTTTAAAAAGAATTCAGTGAGACTCTTACTATTATTATCTGTAACCCTGTAAGTCTGTAACTATATTGGGGCTATACCATTTATTGAAATTAGGCCAGAATTTCTGAAAAATTTTACATATACTGGTTCATTTTAAAAAAGGATTCCTGCTTTACAAAACAGTTTACCATAGGATGCTTTTAACATGAAGCACCATGTATATTTAAAATATAAGAGAATTTAAAAATTACTTATCCACTTTCTATAAATCAAAGCATAGGTATAATTTTATTTATTAGACCAAAATGTAATACACATGACCTAAATGAGGTATTAAGTTCCCTTTAAAAAAACAAAATCATACCTTGAACAGTGTCCTTGCTTTGAGAGTTCCTTGGATTTTGTAAAGGCACCTCTTTTGATTTGCTGCTCCTCATCCTGCCAATTTACCTGCAATCACATCAGCATTCACTGAACATCAATCTTATATTATTTTTCCTCAGAAAAATAACTCATTACAAATTATATTATGACTACTTCACACCCATTAGGATGTAAATAGGACAGGCTACTATCAAAAACACACAAAATAGTAACTGCTGGCAAAGATTTGCAAAACTACAACCCGTGTGTGCTGTTGGTGGTAATGTATAATGGTACAGTCACTATGGAAAACAGTGTGGCAGTTCCTCAAAAAAGTAAAATTAGAATTACCATAAGATCCAGCAATTCTACTTCTACATATATGATACGGTTTGGTTCTGTGTCCCCACCCAAATCTCACCCTGAATTGTAATCTCCATAATCCCCAAGTGTCATGGGCAGAACCAGGTAGAAGTAATTGGATCGGGGGGCAGTTTCCCCTATGCTATTCTCATGATAGTGAGTCTCATGAGATCTAATGGCTTCATAAGTATCTGGCATTTCCCCTGCTTGCACTCATTCTCTCTCCTGCCACCCTGTGAAGAGGTGCCTTCTGCCATGATTGTAAGTATCCTGAGGTCTCCCCAGCCATGTGGAGCTGTGAACCAATTAAACATCTTATCTTTATAAATTACCCAGTCTCAGGTAATTTATAGCAGTGTGAGAATGGACAAATATAGTATACAACCAAAAAACTTGTGGAGGCTCAAACTATTTGTACAACCATGTTCAAAGCAGCATTATTCATAGTAGCTAACATGGAAGTAGCCCAACTATCTATCAACAAATGAATGAATAACCAAAATGACATTTATATATATAATAGAATATTATTGAGCCTTAAAAGGAAGGAAATCTGATATATGATACAACATGAAAGAATCTTGAGGACATTATACTAAAGTGAAATAAGCCAATCACAAAAAGACAAATACTGTATGATTCCACTTATATGAGACAGTAAGAATAGTCAAAATCATCGAGACAGAAAGTAGAATGGTGGTTGCCAGGGGCTGGGGAAAGAGATGAATGGGAGTTACTGTTTAATGGGTTTCAGTTTTGCAAAATGAAAAGAAGTCTGGAAATGGATGGTGGTGATGGCTGTAAAACAATATGAATGTACTTAACACCATTGAACTGTATACTTAAGAAATGGTTGTAATGGTAAATTTTATGTTATGTATATTTTACCGCAATAAAAAAATGAAAGGAAAAAAATTACGTCACAACTCAAAGGGAAAGATCATGATCTGCCTATGGTTAGACAGCTTAGTGATAAGTCATACTATATTTTCCTATGAATATAGAGGAACTAGTCTCTTATAAAAATCATGTAACAACACAGAAAGTTTGAAAAATATAAGAAGAAAAACTCATTACTCCCGAAATCCTAATACAATCATTAGTAAATAATTTCATTACTATCATCACTGTAACTTCAATTTTGTGCCCTACTTTACCTAACTGCTGGACATTTGTGGTGGTTTTAAAACATATTTAAAATTTGTTTCATACTCCTTTCTTCAAAATGTGGAAATTAATTATTCTCCCATTGAATGTGATGGGACTTAGAGACTTATTTTAAACTAATATCACATGTGATGAAAGTGACAACATGTAACTTCCAAGATTAGGCTATAAAACACATTCCCTTCTCTCTTTATACCTCAAGGATCCAGGTGTCATGTCCTAAGAACAGTCAAGCAATCCTATAGACGTCCATGTGGCAAAGAACTGAAGCCGCCTGCCTACAGTTATGTGGGTGAGCTATCCCTTGCAAGTAGATCCTCCAGCCCAAGTCAAATCTTCATAGGACTACAGCTCTACCTGACATCCTGACTGCAACCTCATGACAGACACTGAGCCAAAATCACCCAGAAAAGCTGCTCCTGAATTCCTTACATACAGAAAGTGTGAGATCGCAAATGTTTTGTGTTTTAAACTGCTTAAATTGGGGTGGGAGGTTATGAATTACACAACAAGAGATATCCAATACAATATTATGTCCCATTTTCTCTTCTACAAATAATACTGAAATGAACATATTTGTATCTATGAATTTCTGCTTATTTGATTTATCTAGAACAGTATCTGCAAAGTGTGCTAAAACTGAACGAAAGAATGTGAAGAACATGTTGCTCTTGAAACACCATGTCACTGAAATACAATGGGTCTTCCAAGAAGGGCCTACCCATTTCATAAATATCTCAATATTATCTATTCTTTCTACTTTTGCTGATTTAACAGGAAAAAAATGTACGCTTTAATTTGAATTTGGTAGATGCTAGCAGGATAAAACGTTCTGCTCTATATCTTAACCTTAGTGCTTCATTTGTGAATTGTCTTTTCTATCCTTTGCCCACTTACCTACCAGGATCTTAATGTTCTTCTTATCAAGTTGATGAGTTATTTGCCTTACAAATATATTAAACCTGTCATATTTGATAAACATTATTTTCTCCACTTAGTTGTATGCAGAGGCAGTACAGTATGTTGAATATTAAAAACACCAATTTAAATTTAAGAAAAAGAAGGGCTCACCTATTAGGTCAAAATATGTAAAACTAAAAGGTATGGTTAATTTTTAAGGAAGTTAATTTAATCTGATTTATCAGAGTAAATAATCCTGACTTATAAATGTTCCTAGAAAACACCTCAAAAATGTTCTAAAAATAGGGTTGGGCACAGTGGCTCATGCCTGTAATCCCAGCACTTTGGGAGGCTGAGGTGGGTGGATCACCCAAGGTCAGGAGTTCAAGACCAGCCTGGCCAACATGGCGAAACCCAGTCTCTACTAAAAATACAAAAATCAGCCAGGCATGGTGGCGCACATCTGTAAGACCGGCTACTCAGGAGGCTGAGGCAGGAGAACTGCTTGAACCTAGGAAGCACAGGTTACAGTGAGCTGAGATCACACCACTACACTTCAGCCTGGGCAAGAGAACAAGACTCCATCTCAAAAAAAAAAAAAAAGTTCTAAAAATAAAATTTTTTCATAGATTATAGAATATGGCTCTAAGAAAAGTAAACAAGTTTTCTGAAAATAGAGGAGCATGGTAGAAAAACAACATTTTATCAACCATAAAACTTTAATCTGCCAACACAGTTTAACAAATTAACTCATTTTGGCCTGGTGCAGTGGCTCACGCCTGTAATCCCAGCACTTTGGGAGGCCGCAGCAGGCGGATCATGAGGTCAAGAGATCAAGACCATCCTGGCCAACACAGTGAAACTCCGTCTCTACTAAAAACACAAAAATTAGCCAGGCATGGTGGCAGGTGCCTGTAATCCCAGCTACTCAGGAAGCTGAGGCAGGAGAATTGCTTGAACCAGGGAGTCAGAGGTTGCAGTGAGCTGAGATTGCACCACAGCATTTCAGCCTTGCAACAGAGTAAGACTCTGTCTCAAAAAAAAAAAAAAAAAAATTAACTCATTTTCCTTTTGATAAAAATATTTTTAATCTAGCCAACTGAAAAATTAAGCAAACATCAATTGTATTACTAGAGTATCTGTCAATGATTAGACAAAAAATTTCTTTGGGCAGACATCTTTTTGCTTTAAAACTAAAATAAGTGCTGAAATATACAGTGATTATCAATTTTCCAATAGAAAGGATAAATAGATTAAATAATCAAAAACTACATATGTGTCCACAATCTCTATGTCTTCTTAGCTAACACTAAGGCTGAGACAGTATAAATGAGTAAACGAGAAAATTTATCTGCTTCAAAATAAATACCCTATTAATGGGCAATCATCTTTAATATAAATGACTAAATATTAGAAGTATGACATTTATGTAAAAGTTCATACTATAATTATAGAATATCTCCCACTAATAATGAGACTGAATTACATCTACATGCAAAAAGATAGCTGAATATCACAAACATGTTGTGAAGAATGCCAGAAACAAGAGTAAAAACCTTATAGTTCCATTAAATAAAGTATAAAATAAGCAAAAGGAATCTACAGTGATAGAAGTGAGGACAGTCATCACCCTTGAAGTGGCTAGAGAGGTGGCTGAAATTGGAGCAAGGAAGTGCCGCTAATCTTCATGGATTTGGGTGCTGATTTCAAGGGTACGTTCAGTTTAAGAGACTTTATCAACTTGCACATTTATGTGCTTTTTCAATGTATATTATACTTCAAAGGATTTTCAGATAACATGAATTATGTCCTGTTTTAGGTTGCAGTAGTGCAATCAGGGCTCACTGCAGCCTCAACCTCCTGGGCTCAGGTGTTCCTTCCACCTCAGCCTCCCAATAACTGAGGCTACAGGTGCACACCACCACGCCCGGCTAATTTTTTTTTAATTTTTATAGAGATGAGGTCTCACTATGTTGCCCAGGCTGGCCTCAAACTCCTGGGTTCAAGTGATTATCCCACCTTAGCCTCCCAAAATGCTGGGATCATGGGTGTCAGCCACCACACGCAGCCTATAATTATAGTTTGTTTGTTTGTTTGTTTGTTTGTTTTTTGAGACGGAGTCTCGCTCTGTCGCCCAGGCTGGAGTGCAGTGGCCGGATCTCAGCTCACTGCAAGCTCCACCTCCCGGGTTCACGCCATTCTCCTGCCTCAGCCTCCCGAGTAGCTGGGACTACAGGCGCCCGCCATCTCGCCCGGCTAGTTTTTTGTATTTTTTAGTAGAGACGGGGTTTCACCGTGTTCACCAGGATGGTCTTGATCTCCTGACCTCGTGATCCACCCGTCTCGGCCTCCCAAAGTGCTGGGATTACAGGCTTGAGCCACCGCGCCCGGCCTATAATTATAGTTTTAAATCAGTTTTGTGGTATCTATTCTCATGAAGCACCTCAATTTGCCAATAAACTACCTTTTAAATCTTTGGTTATCCCATGCCCTGTAAGTGAATATTTTAAATATAATGTATTTAAGTTGGTCTGTTCTTTATATAAGAATACATTTTTTAAATCACCATTCTTGTAGAAATTGAAAATAGAATTAGTGAAAAAAGTGTAATAAAAAACTTACTTATAATAATAAGATGATCTAT